ACGGTGGGAGCTCGGCGGCATCCCGGTTTCGACTTCGAGGAACTCGGCGGTACCCTCGTTGTCATTCGTTGATTTGAGCGTCTCGATGGCGGCTCTTGATCAAGCTTGGATGATTTTAAGACTTCAACCGACCTACGGTGGGAGCTCGGCGGCAGTCCTGATTTTGATCTTGAAGAACTTGGCGGTACCCTCGTTGTCATTCATTGATTTGAGCGGCTCGATGGCGGCTCTCAACTTGGATGGTTGTTGATATCCTTTGAAGGAGGACCTTTGAAATCTTGGGTGGATACTTGATGGTGATTCTTTTTTGATTTGAGGTACTCAATGGTACCCTCGTTGTTGACTTGTGATGAAAATCGCCCCAAGGAGGATGGGCAAGATATACTTGATGTGCCCCTGTGTTGATGGGCGATAGATGGGTGATAAGGATTCTGGTGTTTTCCCTGCCATGTGAATATTATGATGCCTCTCCAAGCGTCTGCTTGTGGTAGGTTTTTTTCTGAATTTTATATCTTTGTTTAACTTCGACTTTTTCATGTTTAAAGCTTGCATTTTTCTGGTATTTTTCTAAATTCTTCGGCTTTTTCCACATGTATGAAGCTTGCCTTTTCCTCATGTTGTTTTTACTTTTTTATTGTCATCATTGGTGGAGGGATCTATTCCCATGATGTTATTTGCTGAATCTTTATTGATGAGTATTATTTTGGAAGCCACTCTTAACTTTGGTTAGGAAGTCATTCCTGGTTTGACTGTTTCCCTTTTATCTCTTTTCTAATTTTTTTTCTTCTGAATTCTTCATTCCAATTTCTTGAGTAGGGAGGACCCTACTCCCTATTTGCACCTATTCCTATTTCTCTGTCCCCTCTTCTATCCTTTTGGGAATCACCAAATACTTGTTTGGTATATATGTCAAGTTTTATAGCTCTTTGGAAGAGAAAGTTTGGACCCTTTTGTTGTACACAAGAGTGAGAGTTCACAGTTCTACAACAAGGATTATTAAGGTTCCTTTTTTCTTCCTTTCTCAGTTTATATTCCTTCTCTGAAAATACCCTGTGCGAGATAATTGATGCTGGCAGGACATTGCATGAAAAGTTGACTTTTATGCGAATCACATTTCGTATTTAAACCCCTTTTCAAGGGTAGCATCGTTTTCTCTAAATGACTGAGATTTGTTTCTTCAATGAATGCCATTTTTAAGTTGATACTGTTGTGATTTATTTGATTTAGATTCATGGGTAAGAATTGATACTTGATGCATTGGTTAGCACTTATTAACGGTTCTGGGGAATTTGTGAATTTATTCTTTTCCAATTTGGGTAATCTGAATGTATATCAAGTAATCTGAATATATATGATAAGTGTTTTCTTTTGGTATGAATGCTTTGAGATGCCTATTTTCTTCTGAATAGTTAAAGGGAAATAATCATGTAATGGGCGTTGATTAATTTCTTGTGATCTAATATTCTTAATGCACTAATGTACGTGTTTTCTCTCTTCTCCCCCTTTCATTTAGATGGACAACGAATTTGAGGATAGACAAGAAGAAACAGTTTCAGATATGATACCAAGCAATCAGCAGAGAAAAAAGCAGGTTTGTTTCTTCTTCTTCATCTTTTTTTTTTTTGAATATATTTAGTTTGTCTTCAATTTAATTGTATAGAATTTTTGTGTTTGTCCGTGTCTCTTGTTCTCTGTCATGGAGGTATTTATTGGATGACACTCTGGAATCTCTCGAGTCATGTGACTGACTGTGTATTGGTTAAGTAATGTTTATTTCACAAACTTGATTAAATGTTGACTTTTTTCTTCTTGCAATCATTCTTCTGGATGTGATTTCAGTCGTTTCTGTGGAAAGTTTTGGCCATGAGAGAGAGAAACGGAAGAACAATGGAGCGAGGTTCTAATGATTCACTTGGTGAGTTCTCTGGAAATTCATTCTGGTTCAACTAAATAGAGTTAGGCAGCATTACACAATAATGTGGCTATGCATGTTGAAAATATAGAATAATCTTTTTCAGTTATGGGTGATATCGGCATAGACATTGTTAATTCTATTGTTTATTGTTTTGGAGATATCATTCAGCATGTCAATATGCTTTCCTGAAAAGCTGGAATCACTACTATTCCAATGAAGAGAGAATATTTATTGAAATCACTACTTTTCTGTTTAAGAGAATATATATTATTTCTTTGTTTCCCTCTTTGACTTAAACCTTTTTTGCTTCTATCTTTTGTATAAGCATGATGATTTTAAAATCCCATCTGAACTGTAAAGACTAGGAGATGAGCTGGCCTAACTGATAACTGAAAGTTCAGAATGGTTGGGTGGTGCGGAACATCGACCCTTACTTTTCTTAATGTATTTCATAAGAATATATTCATGCTAGAGTTTCGGATGGTGAAATAAATGAAGCAAGTAGGGTGGTTTCATTTTCTTTTTTTAGTGTTTGAGAGATTCGTCCTCCTCAGGTTCTCTTTATTCGTCTTCACGGGTGCACGACACGGCTTTGTCCTCTTAGGGAAAAAGTTGGCGTCTTGATGATTCACCCTAAACTCTTTATGCATGGTTTACTTCCATTACTTCTGACTAACGCACATAGGTTAATTTCCCTTTTTATTCTCATTTATTCTTTTACAAGGAAGGATATGCTCTAAATGAATGTAATGCAGAATGTAAAGAAAGTTGAGAATAATAAATATCAGTCTCATTGATTTGTTTATTTGTGAATGCTCAAATAGATTTTGACAGTATTGAGCGAGAATCTATATTAGATTCTAAGAAGACTTACTTTAACAATCATATCAAAGCAAGGGCCAAACCATAATATTTTAAAGATGATTTGGGTTTTTCTGTAAAGCGCAGATACTATTGTATATTAGAGCATTCACTTTCCTTAACTTTCTATACATACGGCAACCTAATCCTCCTTAGCTAATAAAATAAAATGAATGAAATTAATGAGCTAATCTAGAATGCATGTCATTTTTTTTACCTAATCTTTATCATGTTCTTATTATCTAAAGGTGAATGATGCATGGTAAAGATGAGATTTCTTTTATTGATTTTTTTTTACAAAAAGGAAACTACCTATATGATATTAATGGAATGCTGACCTAAGAATGTACAAAGGGGTATAAAATTTTATTATTATTATTATTATTTTTTTATTATTTGTTTGCTTATTTTAAAATTCCAATCCACTCTTATTAGAAGAAATAATACAAACAAATGCGCACACACATGCTCAATCAATATACACCCACGAATGATCGTATTCAAATCTTTGGTCTGTGGTCCCTGTAAGAAAAGTGCATTGTATAAGATGGTTTCTCACTAGTCTTAAGGCCCCCAAAGTGCCCCCATTATAGGGACCTAGTATCTCTGTCGCCGTCACCTGGCAAACTCTAAGGTTTGTCCCAGTATTTCGGGCTAGAGTAACCGGTTATCACCTTGAGTGTGATTTCCAACAAGGCTCGCAGGCTCCAAGGCCAAACTTGGGCCGGTCGTACGTTAACCACTCCCTATGTTTAATACTCTCATGCCCCCGGGTGTAGGGGGAACTGTTGTGTGCAAATATTTGTGTGCAATTTATTTCAAACATATGCAGAATTTAAACAGGCAAACAAATATTAAATTCCAACAAATAAAGAAAACAAAGTAAAGGGGAAAAATATTTAAATTAATATTTTTATTTTATTAACTTCAACAATTAAATGGGCCTGACCCTCTTTAAACGTCCCCAGTGAAGTCGCCATCTGTTGCAACCCGATAATTTCCAATCTCGTGACTAATGGTTTAGACATCCTTTTGAAAGTCTCATCAATTAAGGAATGCCTGGACACCAGACTAATCCTTAATTAATGGTTTTGAAAAATGAGTTCATGGAGTCGCTACCAATGTTTTACTCAAAATATTGGAAAAGAAAAGGTTTTCTAAAAATCCAATAATGGCCTTGATAACCAGTGTAGGGAAGGTATTAAGCACTCCTACAACGTCCATAATTGGTACCCTATGATAAAGTTAGCATTATAAATGATAATAATAGAAATATTAAATCCCCTTTTATTAATAATTATTTACATGCTTAAAATTTAAATTATGCAATTAACCCTAAAATGTCTACATGATTATTTTTATTACCACAATATTTATTATAGATAAGAAAATAAAAAAGAAAGAAAGAGATTAACTGAAATACCTCTTGAATGAGCTCTATTGAATCTTCAAAATAGGAAGATTTTAGGTGCTTTGTGGTAACCTTTCACACTACAATGCCTCACAAAATCTCAAGAAATACAAAAGAGAGAGAGAGAGAGAGAGAGAAACAGAGAAATTTCGAGCTCTAAGGAGTCTGGACGAAATTTTGGAGTCTTGAGAACTGTGCCCAAGTTGTCTATTTATAGGTATCAGAAAGGGTCCAGAACGGCCCGTTCCAAAATTGGAACGGCCCGTTCTGGATCTGGCTGTTATGTGTTAATTTCGTAACTGAAACGGCCTGTTCTGAAGTTGGAACGACCCGTTCCAGAGATAAGATTGACACACAATTTGGTAGACTAGAACGGGAACGGCCCGTTCCAGTTAAAATGTTAACCCTTTTGTTAAGGAGTTTGGAACGGCCCATTCCAAACTTGGAATGGCCCGTTCCAGTCTTGGAACGGCCTGTTTTAAACTAGGGTTTTAGGCCCTTTTAGGAACTTGGAACGATCCGTTCCAAATTGGGAACGACCCGTTCTGGTTTTGCAATAGGCCGTTCCAGGCTACTAAAACCAGATTGTTTGGCTTTTGGGCCTTCTAATGTCCTGTTGTTGGCATGCTTCGGGAGCTCCTTCCCTTCATAATTTCCTTGTTTGTATGCCCCCGGCAGACGAAATTAGGTGTCTACAGTGTTGTTTTCTTTATTTAGGCTAATCACCATGCATGAGTAGAGTAGTTATATGAGGCCAAGCTAGAGGGAGAGGAAGGTTAGTGTTTTAGTTGATGTTTAGGGGTCTTACTCTGATAGTGTGACATTGGAGCTAAAGAACCTTGTTATATTTTCTTTAGTTATGGATGATGTTTAGATATATTTTTTATATTTACTTTATTTTGAGATTTTTTAAAAAAAGATCAATTTGTACTTTGATTTATAAACTTATATATTCCTTTTTCGCTAGAAAGTTTTATTAAAGTCATGTGAACCTAAAAAGAATTAATGAAGTTTTTTTATTATTATTATCTTTTTAATTAAATATGTTTTTATTAATGATATTTTATAATAAACATATTGGGTAGAAGAGTGTCACAACATCACAACATTCTCATGAAGTTTACATATATGCATTGGGATAGAGATAATATTATATAGACGTTTCTATTTTTCATCTTAATCCTAGGTATCAATTATGGTTGTTATTATTAATAGATTATTTTTTACGTATTTTCTTAATGTTTTTATAAACAAACAAGAGAAATATTATTGATCTAAACATAAACAACATAAAAACAATGAGTTAAGCGAATATATATTATGATTTTTTTTTTAAGTCTTCTAACTCTTTGATACTCATTTAATTTCCATATGTTTCTTCTTGTAACTGTTTCACCACTTCAAACAATAAAGAAATAAGGAAGGAGAATATTTTCATATTGGTGATATAGCATGCGCATCAAGCAAAAAATAGTTATTGAAATGGATTTAGTTAATTAATATATCTTAATTATAATAATTAGTGAAAAGCTAACTTAATTATAAAATAGTGGACACAACTTAGTGTTAATAATATTATCATAAATTTTAATTATATTTAAATATTTTCAAGTGAAAATATATTTATTTATCTTGCACCTCTTTTATTTTTATATTTTCATGGCATTTATTTATGGTTAAATACAATTTTAGAAATTAAATTTTAAGAGGTATACAATTTTTTTTAATATATATAATTATATTAATAAAATATAAAAAATAACATTTATAATTGAATGAATACCAGATTTCCATGAAAACAAATAAACTATTAAACTACAACATACAAAAAAAAAGCCTTAAAGATAAATAATTTAATATAGGCACTAATGTGATAAGAGACATAAAGATAAATAATAGATATTAATGAAAAGATAAAGTAAAGAAAGATATTTATATATCATCGCTCTTTTTATGCATCATATATATGATATATAATCATTATTAAAATAATATTATCTTTATATTTTAGGTAAATATTTTCGGATAAGTTTCTCTTTACTTAAAAATAATTACTATGTGTGAAAATATATTTTTTTACATGAAAATATATTACCATTTGAATTACAATAAACATACATTTTATTACAATTTTTGTATTTTTTCACTTATTCATTGTTATAATAATTTTGATATGATTATACTTTTTCTTAAATTATCATCTCACCTAAATAATAATTCATTGAGTTTTTTTATGTTATCTAACGAAATTAAATTTTTTCATGTAATTAAATTATTTAAACTAATTTAAATATTAACTATATTTTAATTAATTTTAAATTTAATTAATAGATATTTTTATTCATGACATATTGTTCTTACCTGAGATCGGTCGAAGGGACGATTTACTGGGCAAGATTAGTGAACCTCCTTTTGCTTGGTACGTCGACTGCTCCGAGATGGGATAAGTACCTACAAAAGAGACTCTAATGCTAAAATTAGTCTTTGGCCATATGAATATCTCGTATGTATAATACACGTACCTCAATGTAAATTAGGTTTTTTTTCTCTTAGATGAGGTTGATATGAGCCCGCGGTCGACCGTGGCCTAATGGATGCTGAACCTCTACGTTGGCCGATATCATGTGGCGCTCGGTATTGTAGGTGGATAGTACACATAATCCATTCTAGTTGTTATTCAAGAAAATATAATATATAAATGAATGCATCTATTAGTTAAAGTTGTTAGTTGCCATTGATT